GGCAACATCCTTCTCTAAATTTTACCCCTGCATGGCCCACCAAAGGGTGAGTCAACTTGGAAGGGCGACATCCTTCTCTAAATTTTACCCTTGCATGACCCACAAAAGGGTGAGTCAAGTTTGAAGGGCCACTTCCTTGTCTAAATTCTACCCCTGCATTGCCCACATAAAGGGGTTTGCTCACTTAAAAGGGTCGTCAACTTGGAATGGCCACTTCCTCCCCTATTTTTTTCCCTCCAGGGGCTCACCAAAGGGTGAATCAACTTGGAAGGGCAACATCCTTCTCTAAATTTTACCCCTGCCTTGCCCACAAAAGGTTGAGTCAACCTGGAAGGGCGACATCCTTCTCTAAATTTTACCCTCGGGTGGCTCACCAAAGGCCGCGTCAACTTGGAAGGGCAACTTCCTTCTCTAAATTTTACCCCTGCATTGCCCACAAAAGGGTGAGTCAATTTGGAGTGCCCACCTTCTTCTCTTAATTTTTCCCCTGCATTGCCCACCAAAGGGCGCGTCAATTTGGAAGGGCAACATCCTTCTCTAGATTTTACCCCTGCATGGCCCACAAAAGGGTGAGTCAAGTTGGAAGGGCCACTTCCTTCTCTAAATGTTACCCCTGCATTGCCCACACAAAGGGGTGAGTCAAGTTGGAATGGCAACATCCTTCTCTAAATTTCACCCCTGCATTGTCAACATAAAGGGGTGAGTCAAGTTGGAATGGCAACATCCTTCTTGAAATTTTCCCATTGCATTGCCAACATAAAGGGTGAGTCAAGTTGGAATGGCAACATCTTTCTCTAAATTTTACCCTCGGGTGGCTCACCAAAGGGCACGTCAACCTGGAAGGGCAACTCCTCTAAATTTTACCCCTGCATTGCCCACACAATGGGGTCAGTCAAGTTGAAATGGCAACATCCTTCTTGAAATTTTACCCCCGCGTTGCCCACAAAAGGGTGAGTCAAGTTGGAATGACCGCTTCCTTTTCTAAATTTTACCCCTGCATTGCCCACACAAAGGCGTGAGTCAAGTTGAAATGGCAACATCCTTCTCTAAATTTTACCCCTACATGGCCCACCAAAGGGCGCGTCAACTTGGAAGGGCAACATCCTTCTCTAAATTTTACCCCTGCATGGCCCACAAAAGGTGCGTCAAGTTGGAATGACCACTTCCTTGTCTAAAATATACCCCTGCATTGCCCACACAAAGAGGTGAGTCAAGTTGAAAAGGCAACATCCTTCTCTAAATTCTACCCCTGCGTTGCCCTTGCATGGCCCACAAAAGGGTGGGTCAAGTTGAGGGCCACTTCCTTCTTTAAATTTTGCCCCTGCCTTGCCCACAGAAGGGTGAGTCAAGTTGAAATGGCAACATCCTTCTTTAAATTTTACCCCTGCATGGCCCACAAAAGGGCGAGTGAAGTTGGAAGGGCCACTTCCTTGTCTAAATTTTTCCACTGCGTTGCCCACATAAAGGGGTGAGTCAAGTTGGAAAGGCGACATCCTCCTCTAAATTTTACCCCTGCATTGCCCACAAAAGAGGAAGTCAAGTTGGAGTGACCACTTCCTTATCTAAATTTTACCGCTGCATTGCCCACATAAACGGGTGAGTCAAGTTGGGTGAGTCAACTTGGAATGGCAACATCCTTCTCTAGAATTTACCCTTGCATTGTCCACAAAAGGGTGAGTCAAGTTGGAATGACCACTTCCTTATCTAAATTTTACCCCTGCATTGCCCACAGAAAGGGGTGAGTCGAGTTGGAATGGCAACATCCTTGTCTAAATTTTCCCCCTGCCTTGCCCACAAAAGGGTGAGTCAAGTTGGAATGACCACTTCCTTCTCTAGATTTTGTCCCTGCATTGCCCACACAAAGGGGTGAGTCAAGTTCAAATGGCAACATCCTTCTCTAAAATTTTACCGCTACATGGCCCACAAAAAGGTGAGTGAAGTTGGAAGGGCCATTTCCTTGTCTAAATTTGGCCCCTTCATTGCCCACATAAAGGGATGAGTCCAGTTGGAATGGCAACATCCTTCTCTAAATTTTACTCTCGGGTGGCTTACCACAGGGCGCGTCAACTTGGAAGGGCAACTTCTATCTCTAAATTTTTCCTCGGGTGGCTTACCAAAGGGCGCGTCAACTTGGAAGGGCAACTTCCTTCTATAAATTTTACCCCTGCATTTACCACACAGGGGTGAGTCAAGTTCAAATGGCAACATCCTTCTCTAAATTTTACCCCTGCATGGTCCACAAAAAGGTGAGTGAAGTTGGAAGGGCCATTTCCTTGTCTAAATTTGGCCCCTGCATTGCCCACATAAAGGGGTGAGTCCAGTTGGAATGCAACATCCTTCTCTAAATTTTACTCTCGGGTGGCTTACCACAGGGCGCGTCAACTTGGAAGGGCGCCTTCCATCTCTAAATTTTACCCTCGGGTGGCTTACCAAAGGGCGCGTCAACTTGGAAGGGCAACTTCCTTCTATAAATTTTACCCCTGCATTGCCCACACAAAGGGTGAGTCAAGTTGAAATGGCAACATCCTTATCTACATTTTACCCCTGCATTGCCCACAAAAGGGTACGTCAAGTTGGAATGACCACTTCCTTCCCTAAATTTGGTCACTGCATGTCCCACACAAAGGGGTGGATCAAGTTGAAATGGCAACATCCTTCTCTAAATTTTACCCTTGTATTGCTCACATACGGGCGACTCAAGTTGGAATGGCCACTTGCTTCTAAATTCTACCCCTGCATTGCCCGCGCAAAGGGGTGAGTCAAGTTGACATGGCAGCATCCTTCTCTAAATTTTACCCTTGCATTGCCCACAAAAGGGTGAGTCAAGTTGGAATGACCACTTCCTTCTCTAATTTTTACCCTTGCATTGCCCACACAAAGGGGTGAGTCAAGTTGAAATGGCAACATCCTTCTCTAAATTTTATCTTGCATTGCCCACAAAAGGGTGAATCAAGTTGGAATGGCAGCATCCTGCGTTAAATTTTGCTCCTGTATTGCCCAGAAAAGGGTGACTCAAGTTGGAATGACCACTTCCTTCTCTAAATTTTACCCCTGCCTTGCCCACACAAAGGGGTGAGTCCACTTGGAAGGGCAACTTCCTTCTCTAAATTTCACCCCTGCATGGCCCACCAAAGGGTCGGTCAAGTTGGAATGACCACTTCCTTCTCTGAATGTGACCCCTGCATTGCCCACACCGGGGTGAGTCAAGTTGAAGTGGCAACATCCTTCTCTTAATTTGACCCCTGCATGGCCCACCAAAGAGTGAGTCAACTTGGAAGGGCAACATCCTTTTCTAAAATTTACCCCTGCATTGCCCACATAAAGGGTGAGTCAAGTTGAAACTCACAAAAAAATTGCAACAGATTCCATGACTTCTGCTTCCTAAATTTTTACCCTCGGGTGGCTCACAAAAGGTTTGCATCTTTTTTGGGCCAGCGCCGGTATAGTTGTCGTCACAGATTCCGCGGCTACTTCTGGCGGTTCCACAGCAAGTTTGTCGGGCTGTTTTGCTGGCTTCTCAGCCTCCCAACATGTACAAGCGCGGCGTTTCTCGCGCGCACAAGCGATGCGATTTCCGCGTGTACAAGCGAGTGCTATATGCCCCCACGGAAGGGATGCCGCCTCGGACTGGCGTCTTCCTGTTCTAAATTTGACCTTTGCCTAGCCCCCAAAACCGAGGCTATGTTGCAATGGTTCTTCCGACACAAAAAACATCGAATGGCCCACAAAAGATCACAAAAGGAATGGTTCCCTCGTGTGGCCCACAACAGGCATACTACGTTGTAATGTATTTCTGACTCTTACTTTTACCCTAGTGGCATTGCCATGGCATCTTCGTAGTCTGAACTTTTTCCGAGTGTTGCCCACCAAAAGGGACGCTACGTTGGGTAGGTCCATAGGTCTGTGCCATTGGATTGGCGCCTGCCTGCAGACAAGTCCAACTTGGCCATTTTGGGGGGGGAAATAAGAGCGGGACATTGTGGGCAGCTGGATCCATGCTTCACCCCCCCGTAGAATTTGAAGGGAAGTGGTGAGACCTCCCGCCGACCACACCTGCGCCAAACCTCTCTCCACCTTCCAGCAACTTGGTGATCTCGTTTTCAGTTTTGGGGGGTCATCTTTGTTTCCCATGCATTGGCTGTGCTGCTGTGTGTCCTGTCCCCACGTTAATGGGTGCATGAAGAAGAAACACCTATACATACGACTTGTTCCCCCGATAGCTGCTAGCCTTGTGCATGTGGACGTTTGGTGGTGACCGCCCCCGGCCCGACAACCGGCGCCAACGGCCCCAGCATCCAGCAATGCCCGCCGATCCCAAGGTCGACCGGTCAGCGGTCACCCGCCACCGGCCACCGCTCACCGGCCTGCCACCGGTGACCAGCCGGTCGCTCGCCACCGGCCACGGTCAGTCACCGGTCACCGCCCAAGGCCACCCGTCACCGGACCGGTCACCGGCCACCGGTCACGGGCCCGGTCCGGCCCGGTCACCGGTCCGGTCTCCGACCCGGTCCCCGGCCCGGTCGCCGGTCTTCGGCCCGGTCGGTCGGTCACCGGGCCGGTCCCCGGCCGGTCTCCGGCCCGGTCTCCGGTCCCGGCCAGGTCACCGGTCCGGTCACAGGCCTCCGGTCCGGTCTCCGGCCCGGTCACCGGTCACCGACAAAAAAAGTATATACTCCAGACTCCTGAGAATCCTCTATGGCAGCACTCCGGAGCCTCCAAACCCTATAAACTTGAGGGACCGGATCCTTAGTATATAGTTCAACCATTCCCTCCAACTCCTATCTGTCCCTGTAGAGGAAAAGAACCTTTGCAGCCCTCAATGTTGCAGAAATGGGGCTATGGAAATGTTTATGTTGCAAACCGAGGGCCATGCAAGTGTCTATGTTGTAGTTTGTGTTGTTGTTTGTGTGGATCTCTAAGGGATTACAAACAGAATGAGTTCAAAAATCGTGTTCAGAAAAGAATCTTCAGACCCTGTGCTCTTGAGCCTCGGATACACTTTGTGGGTGGACCTTGATGCTTTCAAGAGCGATGCGTACAGTAGATGAAATGTGATCCAGATGCTGTGAATGTCTCTGGGCCAGCAGTCGTTGTTTAAAACGACCACCTCCAGTGGATGCTGGCACCCCAACGCACGTGCGTTGAGCATCTCTTGAGCATCCAAGGCACGTGGCACTTGCGGCACTTGAAACGGCCAACTCCCTGCGGCCAAACTAAAGTGCCAACGGAAAGAACGGGCTCTGAGTCCAAACATGTCCCCTATTCGCTTCAAAGGTTGAAGTTTCACTTCGTGCTTGGCCAAATGCTATATGTTTGGGGTTCATTTAAACATTGCATTTCAATGAAAAGCTATATTAAACATCGCGTTTGTGGTAAGGTAGGGTGTCAAAACCGCCCACGGTGGTAACTCGCGCAAACGGCCCTGGCTCCCTTTCCCCAAAAGACCCGAAGAGACGTCTAGACGGATTCGTCTAGCGAATGTTTGGTTGAGGATTCCATGCCATGGCACCCACTGCCACCCTTTGCCCACCTCTGGCCTCTGCGTTCAGCCCAGGTCTTACAAGCCTGTGCGGAAGCGGAATGTGATAGTCTCTTTGACACCAAGGTGCCCAGTCTCATGCCTTTTGCCGATTCGATGGAAAGAAAACGACATGGCATTTGTTGCTTATTTGGCTTCTATGTGTAGGGGATGAAGCGAAATGATGCGAAATGTTGGTTTTTTGATATCAACCAGGTTCCAGGTTCAGTGACCAAAGAAGTCAATAGGATCATGTTAGGAAGATGTTTGTTTCAAAAAGGTTCTTTCCAGTTTCTCAAGATCCACAAAGAGCTTGGAAAGAAGAGATCATCCCCAGGTGCTGCAAGAGTACTATACTGGTGTATAGAGTGATGTGGCGAGAGCGACGAACCTAGGAGTGACTCAGCACAGTTCGGAGAAAGATGTTCTCCACCCACCAGAACTCGCCATGCACTACCCCACCGCCTCCAAACGCCACCGAATTCATGTCACCATGGTGCTCTCTCCACCCCACCCGCCATGGGATCCCCAAAGAAAAGAACCAAACCCCTTAGGCCCTAGACTTCCAAGACCCTTAGTGTCAGCTGGTTTTGTAGCGTCAAATCCTTAGTTAAGACCATTTGGTGCTTCAGTTAACCCCCCATGCAGAACGGTATCCACGACGACCCCCGGAACGACCAGGTGCAGCAGAACGTCGGAGCGCATCTGCATCTCGAGAGCGTCCTCGACGTGCCGCCCTCGGGGGGTGGCGCTGCGGTCCACGTTGGGTGGAGTCCGGAAGGCTTTCGGCGCTCCGCAGGACAGGCAGGTGCCACAGTTTCAGTGGAAAGTACCGGGCGCCTGCTGTTCTCTATGAAATACTGGCCAAATGCAAGAAGAGTTCATGGTTTTTGTCTTGAGAAGGAACATCAAATCTGGGTAGTACCGGTTCGACATGTTCCTGCTGGGTACATCACTCTTGCCTTGCACAGCCAAACAGCAGACCGGAGCCCGCGAACCTCAACCACCAAAACAGATGAGGCGAACAGATACGGTAACGCCTTTTGAATATATGGTGGCCTGGCCAGAGCAATCGGCCCCGGAGGTAGTCTAAAATGCCTGTTCACTTGTTTAGAAAACCGTATATCGTGCAAAAAACGATACCGCATGCCATCTTCCGTGTAGCATTCAACTTTGGGTAATGTATTTTTAGATGGTCAGCCCGACCATGCTATATCTTCAAAATGATTGCCCACACCTTGCGGGTAGTATCCTACACCGAGGTTCTCCCCAGACCCCTCCTCCCCACCTCCCGGCCAAACAGCCACACTCCGGTCCAGGACATCGCCGACCAGCTCTACCGTTCTCTGGGGAAGGCGCACCGCGCGTTCCTGGAGTGCCTGGGCCGCGAAACCGACGGATGGCCGGGATGGCGGGGCGGTGAGCGTGTGGAGGGGCGGCCAGGGCCAAGTGGAAGACGCCGCGGATGGCCGGAAGGGTCAATTGGCACTGAAAAGGGGACAAGAGTGCCAAGGACTCGGAATGTCCTTCTTCTTTTTCCAAGAGTGTTGCTGCACTGTCTGAGTATTTATATGTATTTATATATTTCAGTGCACTGTCAGAGGCCGAGGCTTCTCTTTCTCGTTCGGTGACTGCCGGTGATTGAGCTCAGACTTGGATCCAGAGCTTAATGATGTTGCCTGTTTGTTGGATCCGTTTCTAAAGCGGATGAAGAGGCTCTGAGCATCTGACTAGCCTCTTCACTGATCACTTCTTACAATCGACGTCGATTGAGCCGAGGAAGTTCTGCCAGACCAACTTACTGTAGATCTACTGACCCAGTCGACCCCTTTTTCACAGCCCGGTCTTTCGGGGGTGGCGGTTCACCACCCCCGACGACGCGGGTCCGAACGTGTAACAAGCTCAGTACGTGTCTCAGTCCCTCACCCCAGTACTGAATGGAGTCACAGACTGGTTTTCAGATCATAGTTTTTTCATGATAACATATTGGTTAACATATATATATATATATATACTGTACTGGTTAAGGATAACATATATCATATGTTTTTACATATATAACAACCATACTCTTTTTAAGGATCATAGTTTCCAGGTCATTGTTTTTGTGTGTATATGCCGGTCATTGTATATTTGAGTGTATACCGATCCTGCAAGCGCTCTCGCCTCCAGTCCATCGGCTCCGCTCGACGTGAGGTACGTGGCCAGTTGCGATCCCATGCGTAGCGCCCGGATCCCCTGCGGAGTCTTCGGTTTGGGGTACGTGGGCGGTGCTTTTTCGCTGCGCTGATCACGCCCCGGTGAGGACCGGAGTGGCGACCTTTGCTCAGCGATCTGGGGTGGGTCAAGACCACCGGACTGGGCAGGGAAGCAGTTGGTGGGAGGGGGGTGGAGCAGTTGGGCCAACGCGGAGTCGGAGCGGAGGTCTTGATGTACTCCAAAGAGGAGAAGAGCAGGGGGGATCAGGAGCATAGATGACTGGATGGGTTTTCGTCCCATCCAGTCATCCAGCGGATGTGAGTTTGGGGGCGCCCCAAGCTCTGAAACTCTTGGGATGTGTCACCCGAGCTCTGAGTTGGGATCCCTAGCGTGACGGGCAAGTGCAGGCCGTTTCGGCCGAGCCACTAAGCGGCTTCGCATTGGCGTGATCCAGATTGGCTCCTCATGAGAGCCTGTCCCCTTAAGAACGGTGAGTCAAACGAAATCTAGGTGATGGTTTCGGATATTTTTCAACCCGTACTTGGGGATGATTGGATTCTCTGACTAATATGTTTCAAGTGGGTTGAAAACACCAACCAGAAATCAGATTTGGCATGTTTTTCTTTTTGGTGCGCTTCGTCCAGTCTGTGGTCAAAGCATGTCATGTTGCTGCTTTGAGGAGACATGTACGTTGTCTGTGCGTGCTTGAAAGCACGTCAAAACATCCCCTGGGCTCTTGTACCAAACCTCCAGCAGCCCAGGTCCACTTTTCTCAGATCGACAGCCCACTGTGCGGGCCCGAGCTGCGGGCCCGGATGCTGCCACATGCTTTGTAGACCCCAATTGGAGACCTGTAGAGACCAGTACAAAAGACTATAGACTCTAGACTATCTAGATGCTATTGGAGTGGCAGAGCTGATTGAGCCCTTTGAAGCACCAAGTCCTTTGTGAGTAGGTGTATCAGTGTGTCACTGATCCCATCCGAAGAAAGCTCCGCCACCCGAATGACTCTGAATGACCTCTATGTAGGACCACCAATCACCCAAAATCTGGTCCAACTTCCTATTCACAATCGGGGGTCACTTCTTTTGGCAGGTGGAAGTCCAAGCATGTATCTCCATGTCCATGTCCGACGTGTTGTCCATACTCTGAAGAAGCACCGTTTCACTCCGTTTCACTCCGTTTCACAGCAGAACTGACGGTGTCAGCGGGTCCGTTCTGGGAAACACGTTCGTTCGTTGAGCTGTAGTGACACTGGTCACTGGTCACGCGTTTGGCTCGCTGTCGGGTCGACCTCGACCTCCCGGACTTTTCAACGAAGACAAAGAGTGTTTCGTCCGGGCGGCGCTGTGCGTTTGGGTACGCTGTGTGTCATATCCCAGACACTCCATGTATGCCATATATGCCGACATTGACCTTCAAAACCACCCCAATGTAGGCATATATGGCATACATGGAGTGTCTGGGTATGGTTTTCACGAGGTGTTTCACGGACATGTCTCGTCCAGGTGTTTCACCGTTTTTTCGAACCACTCTCGTTGGAAGGTCCACACCGAAAAAGAGTCGCCCTCGTGGTGTCCAACGAGCCAAGCGCCAAACACGGCCTCCGCGCGCGCCTTCTTTTGGCGCGCAACAAACGCGGCTCGTCTTCTGGGTCGTTTGGACGCCACGCCCGAGGACGCCGCCCCAGGTGCAGTCGAACGAACCTGGGAACGCAGTCGATCGCCGATTCCGCGCGCCGCGCGCGCCGGGGAAGCCGATCGGATCGGTCAAGAGACCCGCTTACTGCGACATGAGTAGTGAAGGGTCCACCCTGGTCGTGAGGGGTGACATGGAGGCGATGGGGGTCCAATGAGCCTTTGGGTTTTGATGATCTTTGATTTGCTTTGGTGTGTTTAATGCTGACTGGAGTACTCAAACTGGTTCAAGTTTACAGGAAACAACGAGCTTGCATGACCTGTTTTTCTTTTCAAGAACGGGGCGAAAAACGTCGAGCCAGTGAGCAACCACTTGGAAGTGCAGATATAATCAGATATATTTGCTCGTTCGTTCCAGTCTCAGAGTCTCAGGTGTTCTCGTTGATGCAGCCAAGTCGGAAGTGGTTCAGCAGATGGGCGCGTTAGTTCTTCAATTAGGGAGAGACCTCCGAGTTCGACTCTGGCTTCGGGAAATGGACCAGTCAGTAGACCAGTCTACCGGGCCAGGTCGGAGATTTCAGGGCTCTCCCTATTGAAATACACACCAGGTCCATCTTGTCTGGGTGTCCTGGAGATCCCTAAGTAGGGTGGTCCATTGGACACCCAGACAGGACCCAGGTATTAGGAAGGTGGTGGTATAGATCAATGGTAGGACAGGATGCAAAGCTTTCCCAAAATGGCTAGCTCCTCTTGTGATGGAGGTATAGTGTGCCCATGACCAGTAAAGGTTGTTGAAAAGATTATCACTATTTGAGGGAAGGATTTATACTAACGCCATACTAACCATCATCATCCGCTGGGTCCTGGGCCGCTGGGATATAGCCAACAGTGTATCATAGTGTTAGTGTATACCTCTGTGCGGAGTGCTTCAACTCTCACAACCCTAAGGATCCGGACCCTCAAAAACACGGGATGCCAAAAACTATCCGTGTTTTTCACCCGCGATGACCCACGAAAAAAAAGGTCTGTTGCCTGGCGATAAGACAACTGACATCAAGCGACACGCTGGACGCGTCAACCCATGCCACCACAAACCGCCATCAACCCTTCGCACTGCCGCGTCTTCTCCGAGGAGCAGCTCGCCATCGCGCTGGACACGACCTTCGTCTCCAACTTTCTTCGACAAAGTCAGCCCGGAACGCCAAAGTCGACGCGCGCGCGCGCGCGCGCACCGGCCCCTTGCGCCGGTCGGACTCCTCGGACTCGGCCGGACGCAGAAACGCAAGCGTTCGGGGGGGGGTCGGGTGCTGCGGAACGTGCGTTCGGTCGAATGGAAACGATACGTAAACCTGGTGCACGGGACGAACTGCAGCATGGGACGAACTTAGTGTTGTGCAAAACTTTTGATTGACCATGCGGAAGAGCTTCTTAGACGATGTCCTTCAGCCATGAAAGACGAAGGCTTCGAATTTCCCGAATCCCGGGGAAACAAGGACCAACCCCAGAAGTCCAGTTCTATAACAGGTCACTGGCGTTCAACCTGGTCCTACCGCCCTCCTGTTTCGGACGTCCGGTCTGACTCGACCTGTCGAGACGGCCACCTGAGGCGCGAGACGACCTGCACCTTGTGGGAAGCTCAGCAGTTCGACCTGGAAAGGACTGATTTCAGGAGTCGACCCGGAACTCGTAGCTCGGAACATGGGTAGGGCGTCGTACCGGTTTTTTGATGGGGTCAGACGTCCCATTTTTCGAAGGTACTGGGTCAGTCGGGTCCAGGTGAAAAGGAGATGAAGCAGCAGTCACGTTCCGATGGGGGTGCCACGAACGGAGGAAGGAGGTGAGGTGCCCATGATCCACTCACTGGCAGGGACAAAGATCCTGAAAAGGAGATGAAGAACCCAGACGCGACCCGTTGGAATGTCCGTCCAGTAGGGTCCGCACCCGAACCAAACCGTATTTTTTGAGGGACCAAGGCCTGTTTGGAGACCTGAAAAGGGGATGAAGAAGGAAAGATCCCCATGTTTGGGACTGCCCGAGCAGGATCCGAGTCGCGTTCTTTTCGACACCACCAAAACCCTCTACAACAGGGGTTTTGGGGGCCACGTGTTTTTTGGAGGGTCCGGATCCTGATCGGGTAGAAGAGATACATAGACTCCCTTGGAATCCGCATGGAGGTTTTGGGAAATATTGGTAGTCCTTTCGGGATCATGCCATCTCTACTCAACCATGTGAATTCCAGGGAGTGTAAACCACATGAAAATGACCCATCCATATCAGTCAGTCACTCTTCTAGTTACAAGGGTGGTCTGTTTTTCGGGCAGTCGGTCAAAGCAGGGGCGGACCCTGCTGGATCGGCGCCGACCGACGGTGAGAACACGCAACCCATTCGGATCCCTGACGGAGAGAACATGCAAACAACGAGAGAGAGAGAGAGAGCGTAGTAGAGATTGCCTCCACCCTAGTAGCGATGGCCTGAAGAACCCCCGATCCATGTGGGTGATTGGGTTCTACAACTCCCCTCGGCCTTCCGAGCAACTATTAAAGGAAAGGTTTGACCTATAGAACGATCATTCAAATGGCTTGGTCGGCCAACTTGCCCATCCGAAACGGGATCCTTGAACCGGACCGGACGGCACGCAGGCAAGAGCTCTATGACGATTTAGAGGCCTTGAGCATCCCGCTCCCCGAGGCACGACCCGAGTCGTCGTCGCAGTTGGGTCTTCACCGGTCGAGGCTGCGACGTGTGAAAGATGCCGAAAGAGTTCGAGTGAACGCATATCCATTTGTGTGTGCAGTGTTTGTTCTCAACCAACTGCGGTGGTGTTTGGTCGCCGGCCCATGGACGTGGGCTCCAGGTTGAACCAGCTCACCAGCGCCATGCGCCATGAGCGATACAACGAAGTCATGATTTGGCCACCGAAGGTCCGGAAAAAGGTCAAGAGCCTTTTAGCACAGCAATGGATACATATATATATAGCAACTCTAATTGAATTCTAATTATATACTAAGTCTGGTTTCTACTAGCAAACATTGTTACTACTAGTAAGGCACTTGTTACTAGAAGTGATGCACTTGTTCCTCGTAGCCTTTTAGCATCTTTAGCCTTTTTCTGCATGTTCAAGATTCTGAACCACCACCGGTCGCAGTGGTTGTGTGTTGCGCGACATGTCGCTCGACATGTCGAGCTGTCTCCGCCTGAAGGCGGCGGTCGCGTGTCTCCCTTCGCGTGTCGCTTTCTCCGTCGTTCAACGCGGTCTTTGGTCGCCTCCGGCAGATTCCACCACTGGCTGGCGCACAGAATCTACGCGTTCGGACCCTGGACGGTGTTCGGAGGATTCGGGTGGATTTGGCATCATCAGGTACTCGTACCCGTTTTCCGATGTAATTACTTTGACACTCGGTACGTTCTTTTTTCAGTGGGGCCTATGGGGCATCCGAATGCTTTTGGTCCACGTGGTTCTTTGAGTATACGGAATCGTTCTCTTCCGTTTGAATGCCATGGACGCGCGTTTCGAAAAGGATCTACAGGCAAGGGGTCGGCCCCATCAGCTGCTGTGCTGCAGTAACCCGCACCACGGAACTCGGGTGGTTGACCTGACATCAACTGACTCAGTTCGTGATGTTTGCCATTCAATCACCCGTAAAAACCCGTGGTGCTGGTATCCGTTTTATGGCGCCGAAAGTCACTCGGGGTGGGTCCAGTGCCGTGACCGGCACTGGATCGCCTGGATCGCCTGGAATGGCAGAGACCGGTCGTGCCGTGCCCAGACGACAACAGGTGCGCAAATAGCACGTGATCGTGTAGGTGGACCACAGCTACATGTCAGTAAACGTGACAGCGCGAAGACAAGATCATCTACCAGGACCCGACTTCACAGGTCACCACCGACTTTTAAGTCTACAAAAGCCTCCAGAGGAGACCTTTTGGAAGGTGCTGGTAAGTGTGCATGTGAACATAGCAAAAGTGACAACCTGTACCGGCACCCTCCAGCAGGTCTCCTCTGGTAAGAGGCGGGTGGTGACCTGTTGGAGGGAGCTGGTAGTCACATGTTAGATCATGTTAGTGTGCATTTGAACATGAACGTCATTGCCCCGCCCCACACCACACCCCAATGTTGTATGATGCACACGACTACTCTAACGTCCATTCTGAAGCATGTATCGGTCTTTGATCAAGAACCGTTCTTCTAACTTGTTTTGGGTGGATATTGAAAAGTAGCCCATGTTGGGTTCAAAAGTGCCTGTTACACTGGTTGGGTGTAATGTCGCTGGTTGGGTTCAAAAGTGTAGTCTGCACTTTTTCGGTTTCCCATCCGTTGGCATAAACAAACAAACAAACAAAAAGGACTATAGATAATTAAAGGATACTTTAGAACCCAAACCCTTGCTTAGGGGTCTCAAGAAATGAACTGATTCCAGTCACGGAAAAGATGCCATGGAACAGCGCTCGGCCTTGACCCAGCGGTTCGGCTTGAACCATGGCCGATGCGTCCTTTGTCAATCCATGTCAAGTGCTGAAGAACAACGAGAGGGCTCAAGACAACTACCTGGAAACCAAACAACCAAGGAACAAGCCATTTCCTATGTAAAGGATTGCAATTGCGATATTGGAACAACCATTTGTTTCCAGTTGTTCGGGTGTCCAGGTAGAGATAGCCAGAGACACCCCAACAGAGGTTTTCCACACCCGAAGACAGTGTGTGTGTGTGTGCTGTGTGCTTCTCAATACGTATTGGGCTAACCTGGGTACACTCGTCTATTTCCCAAACTGAACCCAGGGGACTTTGGGAGGTCTCCCTGTTTGAATGCACACACCCATGTTTTTATTCTCTTGAGACTCCATTCGTTGCCTGGTCTGGGTCTTCCCTCCCTTCTTCGCTCCCAGGCCTGGGCCCTGGCGAAGACGAAGCCCACCCCCGATAGCCGGCAGCGCGGCCTCGGCGAGGCAGACTCCGCGGCACTGGCATGCCGTGCGCACGCACGCAGCCGGTTGGTTCGGAGTACATCATGGTTCGATGAAGAACAGAGCAGATTTCTTTAGAACCCAACGAGCAGATTTCCTGTGCGCAACGTTGTGACTCCAAGAGCCAAGAAGAGTAGCTGCAGACAGGAAGGCCATGATCCCGTCGTTTTTTAGGCCATGGTTTTCACGAAAGCATAGGCACGTGGTGTTTGTTCAATTTCTCACCAAGAAAACGTCACAAAAGTCGAATCCAGCACATCTCGCTCGGGTCAGCGCGACGAGATGAAGGGGCGTCGTGACGATGGTGACCCAGCCCCTTTGCTTGGCCCTCCACCCTAGTAGTGATGGCCTCCTTCCTCTGTCTTTGTGTCAGATTTATATATTGTTTCTACGTTCGCTTCTTGTTACTACTAGTAAGGCACCTGTTACTACTAGTAAGGCACCTGTTACTACTTCCTTCCTCTTTGTGTCAGGAGGTCGTGGAGGTCACTGTCCCTTTCCCCTGCAGGACATGGTGAAACTGGCGCAGCTGGATGCCGTGCTGCTCTGTGCGGCCGTCGAGCGCGGGTCGCCGAGTTCACTGGAGAGGTTTGGGCTTTGGGCGAAAAACAGGGTGATCAAATGAAGAGTCGAGAGCGTTCCTTCAAGGCTTAAACCTTGAAATGATTGATGAACAGTTTGACCTTCAAGGGTTAAACTTGATTGGTTAAACCGTTAAACCTTGAAAACCCTATGGTTGATTGAATTGGTTTTCAAGGGTCCTAACTTAAGCTTCTGGATGGGCTCAGAATCTTGGCTTCCGAGTGAGGACACCCCGAATACAAAACAAAGAAGCTCAGTGTCAATCTTGAATAGAAGACTATATAGTTTTTTTGGTATAGAATATATGGATGAATATGGTAGCGGTCTCCAAGCAGGAGACCACCGGTGCGCAGAGCGCATCGCTGGGGATGGAAGTCCCACGCTGCTTCCTCACCTCTTCGCCCCAGATGAGTTCCCGAAGCTTCGGTGGGTGACCGACGTGAGAGTTCGGGTCCGTTCCGCTAGAGTCTCCCCGCAGTCCGTTCGCACATCCCAGGAGTTGGAATCTAGGGGTCTTTCGGGTCTCTGTTTTTCCGAGAAGCTGTTTTCCGGAGGGTCGGGGTCTTTCTTTGTTTTCTGAGAAGCTGGACCTGTAAGTTGGAGGCTGTTTCGTCCTGGAAACCGGAGGTCCGTGGTCGTCTCACCCAACCTGGTGTGAAGGGCAGCCAAGACGGTGCCCACTAAGGTCTGGAAGATCCAAAGTTCATGAACAGTTCGAAACTACCTGCAGTAGGGCTCCTTCTTGGAGCATTGGGGTGGGAATAGAGCCTAATTCTTCGCGCCCGCTGCTCAAGCCCGGCGTAAGTAGGGCAGACGATGCAACTCGCACTTTTGCGAGTTTTGTTCCAGATCGGCCAATGGCTGAGAACGATGGATCGCTTGTTTCACCCGCGGAGCTGCACGAGCGTGGCCAGTGCAAACCGTGCCCTTTCTGGGCGCTCTTTCCGCAGTCAGAGCCGAGAAACGAAGCCCATGGAGGTCTTAAAACACGAAGCCCATGGACGCTACACTCCGGGGCTCCGACCGAGTTTCATAGAGTAAAGTGCCGAACCTGATGGGCTGTTCCCCTGGACCACAACCCTGCAGTTCAGAAGAAAGACGTCACAAGCCACGCTTCAAGCCATGCGGAAAGAAGCCACAGGTGTGGACAGAGTCACGAGTGCTTTCCACTGGGCTGTTCCCACGGGGCTGAGCTGTTCAAGTGGTGCAAGATACCATTCCCAGACACTCCATGTATGCCATATATGCCTACATTGACCCCCAAACCACCCCAATGTAGGCATATATGGCATACATGGAGTGTTTGGGATTTATGGTTTTTGTCTTCGCTGTGTTGTTCAACTGGCTTCGCAGATGTGGATAGCGTCTTTTTCATCCCGATCTGAATGTGGGCTCTTGATGAATCAACCGTGGGTAGGAAGAGGTTTTACCCTCCACATTGGGGAACGTGGTTTTTTCAGGTGGTTCAACCCGATGGTGGACTGGAGGAGCGGCTGAAGCCGGACCTGTCGGTGCCCAACTCACAAGGTACGCCGGAACTCCAGTTGCCACTTCGGAGCCCGGTGCCACTTTTGCCACCTCTGCGGCGAGAAGGACTTGAAGATCTACTACTACTATGCTCGCAAGGAGGTCGCGAGAAGCCCCCGAAACGCTCATGGAGCGTGACGGTGTTCGTGATCTGGCGCGATCCATCGCGCAGTTTCAATCGCGCTGGATCCGGAGTTTGGGGGTGTACGGCGGCCCACTCGAAGCCAAAGTAAAGGTGGATGCGGAGATTTAATTTGTGTGCTTCCATGCTTAGCGGTTCATGATGGTTCATGTTCAATCCGCTCCAGGTTGATTGGAAGCAGTGAAATCATTCATCTACTTCTTCCGGACAGTGTCTGACCTGATCTAAGGTTTAAACCAACGAATCGATTGAATGGTGTATACATGTGTATAACGAAAAGTATCCGGAAGTATAACACTATTTCTGAGCAAGGCTTGTCAGCTATAAGTTTGGTCAGCCTTTCATTTGTTGGTCTGGCCATGGCATGTGGAATGCGTTTTGACCAAGTATACATTTTTTTCATCGAGTCTAGTCTCAGATGGTCAAGCGTCACTTTGCATGCTGCTGTCCGTTCTGAAGTCCAACCCCACAGAACGATAATAAGTAGAAGGGACGGTCGGATGGCCCTAAGAGAGACCTGAAAGGATAGGATCCATTGTGTTCTTTTCCTCCTTCACATCAACTTCACCTTTCTGTTTTGATCTCTGTGTTGATCCTCTACATTCCCTGGAATCATCATGGTTTCGTTTAGTAGTAGAAACAATAAGCTACTAGGAACAAGTGCATCGCTTCTAGTAACAAGTGCCTTACTACTAGGAGCAAGAAGCTACTAGGAGCAAGTAGGTTCACCACCGGTTTTGTCTGATTTCGGAATCCCAAGACCCGGAGACCATGCCATCCACGTCAACACCAGCTTCAGTGAGCACCAAAAACGGTTGGATCTCGTTGTTGGTGCCTTTTTCGGTGATGTCAAGCCACTCAAAAAACGAGGGCTTGAGGGTGTTTGAGTTATGTTGTTGTCGTTTTTTGTGCCTTTTTTGTGATCATCTACTATATATATATATATATATCCCTGGGAGTCAAAGACTATAAAAAGAATGGTCTGACTAGGTGATCCGAAAAGGAATTTCCTTTACTTGAGTCCGTCAAAATATAGTCTTTGGACTTCTATAGGGTATATATGGAATGAGGATGTTTGAGGGCCTTTTCGGTCTTCAATCATTTTCCGCAAGGCGAAGGTGGAGAGGTGGAGACAGCCCGATGCTCCCCAAAAACACGCTGGGCGTTGGATGGACCCGCTTGGCTTCGGGTTTCGCCAGGAAAGGTTGAAGAACCAGAAGCAGGACCGACCTGTGGAAGGGTCAAGAATCTGCAGAAAGTGATGAAGGGAGGATGGGACTTACACACGGCCACCAGAACCTCTAAAACATTCCAGATGACCTGCCTTGTTGCGGCGACCATGTGTTGGTATTTTGTGAGCACCGCAGCTGCATGTATCACTCCCCCAGTGCATGGGGTCACTGTTTCCCCATCCATTCAGGTGTGAATGTGTTTTGTAGTGTGAACCAGTACGTAGAACATGAAAATCCATAATATCAGGTTTATTCTAAGTAACTGCCCACATACTGACCCAAGTCCAGGCGGACTTCTTTTTTCCCGAATAATGGTCACTCGAGCGGGGTTCTTACGGTATACAGGCTAAAGGCAGGGTTTGATCTCTACTGCGCTCTCGTTGTGGTGCCGTGCACATTTTCGGACTTGTTCGTGACATTTCGAGCGCAAGGGAATCCTCGTGTTTTGCAAGATTGAAGACTTTTCGTGGCCGATCTCCTACACGGCAGGCGCAGCACTTTGAATTTTGCGCGATGCAAACACCCCAAAGTCTGGAAACCATCCACATGTCCAAAGTTCAAGATTCACGGCACCCCCGGCTTTGGCATCTCGAACTTGTCTTTGGAAGTGCTATAATTGTTGCGAAACGACGCGAAACGCAGGGGGCGATGTGAACCTCGGTATGTGAACCTTCGTGGCAGGCTGCTGCAACTTGTGCTCTCATATGTTTGCTCACACTCACGAGTGTGCTCTCTTCGGGTGCACAACTTGTTTATTCACCCCTTCGTTTAGATCTATATGCTTGACATTGTTCGGGGTCTCTTGCCGGCATTGTTTGTTTGCTTATACCAATTTGTGAATTTATTGGTTCTGGGCCCGCAAAGCGGAGGCTACCGCAGGTCTTCCTTCCCCCGACCAGGACCTGCCCCGGGCCGACGACCCGGAGAAGGGCGCGTGGCCTGCGGGACCAATACCCACGCCCAGCAGCACGGCCACGCACCGGGAGACGACCGAGCCAGGCGGAGGGGAACGGGAACGCCTTCTGCACTCGGATGGATTTTCTCAGTTTGGTCCTGGACCGCAACTGGAGACGATGTTCTCGGGGAATTGCGCGGTTGATCTTTTGTCCTCCAGGTATTGCACGTGTACATGCCGACGAAGAGGTGCCGAAGACCAGAGCAGCACCAACAGGTGTAGGTGTTGCACACAAGGAGCGGCCAGTCAGCCAGTCGTTTGAGACAGATGGTTGCAAGCCTGGGAAATGAGAAAGTTCTAAATGAAAATCAACAGCCGTTGATCCGCACATTTGCTGTGTCCAGTTAGTAAACGACCGGTCCAAAGACTACTCTGGGTTCCAGGGCCAAAACTGGGCTCTGGGACTGGCTGTCGGGCAAACTGCCTGTTGATGCACATCCAGCTCGGCAATCATTGAGCAAGGAGGTTGGATCCTCTCAAGTTTTGCAGGAGGTGGAAATTGTCATAGTTTTTAGAGTTGGTGATTATAATCCGCCAGATCACTGCGGTCTTTCCCGCCAGATCACCGTGAAGCCCTGTCATCTTTCAGTCTTTCAACCGGGATGCCAGACTTCCACATGCTAAACTGGACGGTCATCCCATGGATTGGTCGATATGCGTATCCCGTTTTAGGTGTATCCCGGTCCCGCAGAGCGCGTCCGGTCTGCGCGCGTCCCGCAGAGCGCGTCCCCCCCGGGGGCCGCAGGATTGGCATCTTCCCATCGAGTGTTGGCAGCAGAATTGGCAGGTCGTACCTCAGGAGATGAGACCCGAACCAATCCCTAGGGTTTTGAGGGACCAGTCGAGCTGTGAACGGAGCGTCTGGTGTGTTATTTTCCGCTGCTAAAACATGTTGAGTCGAAGAACCCCAAAACCACTTTTGGTAGGAAGGCGAACTCGTGTGGTTCCAGCTTCCAGGAACGATGAAGACCTCCCTGTAAACCCTTCTGAACGTGGTGCCGGACCTGTGACACCGATTTGGTTTCACAGATGAGGCCGGTGATTCAGAGAGCGTCTTCTGCCTGAAAAAACCGATGGCAGGAGCTCTTCTTTCGGGTGAAGGAGAACAAGCTGATCTTCTGGATGTGAGGTCGTTCCTCAGATCCATATGGGGCGGGACGGACCGGCACCGCTGCGTTCCGGCCGGCTGGAACGGACGCTGGGCGGGCAGGTCGCAGGTAGGACCTAGCCAGGAAGTTCACCTGAGGGTGCAACTGTTTTGGGGGCTTAGACGTAGAGAATCTGGTGCTGAAAATTTGGTATTTCCGCGGTTCTTGCGGTTTGGAAGGACAAGCTGGCCAAAGCTGGAATTTTGCGAACATGAGAAAGTGTTGCAGTTGGAACGGAAGTACAGCTTCATCTAGACAACGCACATGTCATTTGTTCCCCAAAAACCTTGCTGAACCAAAGGTTGAGGCTGTGGATCGCGGGAAGTTTGGAGTGTTTGTTGTTTTTAATGAGAAAACAGTGATTGTTCTAGACTTTTCGTTCGACCAAGTCTCAAGACTTTCTAGACCTAACAGTGACTTTTCACTCTTGGAACCGGGCAAAGTCCATGAGACCAACGCATTGGGCATCCAGAACCGGCGAACGGCGGTTGGCCTCCCAAGGTCTGAAACTGTTCGGCCTGGCTTATATCAGGTGAGGTATTGGTTTGGAGGGGCAAGTAGGGAAAGACGACTTCTCACTGTTCAAAGGATGCATGTTGCAAGTTACCTGGGTGTCTGACATGGTTTCTCCCAGCGAAAACTTGGTCACAGTCACAGTCGCCTGTTTTCTGCAGCTTTGCTCAGCTTTGCCTCGAGGAGGGAAGGTTTGGACCCAGTCTGTATAGATATAGATAGTGGACTCGATGCTACATGTTAGTATAGATATAGATAGTGGACTCGATGCTACATGTTATTCTCTTCAAAAAGCTGACATTCCAGCAGTTCCAAGTCGGAATGGTTTTGGCTCGTCCCATCGGATGCTGTTCATGACCGGTCATCCCCAAATGCCAAACCGGTGGGACATCTCACAGCCAAGGCGGCCGCAAGATCCAGCGGAAGACCCCCTTGGTCTGAAAGCACAGCGCATCCGAATGCGTTATTTGACCAAGATACAGTGCCTAATAAGCACAGGTCAGGTACTGTCATTCGAAGTCGATAGCTTCGAATTTGAGTGTCAGGTGAGAAGGATACTTGGCGGTTCTTTCTGCGCAGAGGGTGCAGTTGGCAATAAAGACCCCAGAATATCTTAGCATTGGTCAGTTTTTTGAAAGACACTCCCTTTTGGACGCTGATTTCACCATTTCTTGGTTCAACTGAGCGGTGTTCCCATGCCGGCCTGTGTTTCCGGAGCCATCGCTTCCAAGCACCGGTCGGATCGATGTTTGAACTGTTTGAACTCTTTTCAGAGGAATCGAAGGAGCACAGGATCTCGATCGATGTTCGTAAAGAACACCACCAGGATCGAGAGATGGCCCCAAATACAGTGTACGACCTGAGGCTCGCAGCTGGTCCTGGTCGTGTGTTTTTGGTTTTCCGGCTCGCGGTCTGACCGGGAACGATCCCGTCCTTCAGAGTTGATTTCCGCGGAGCACCGTGACTTGTACCCTCAAAACCCGTTTGGTTTCGGGTGATCCTTCGCGTTCGGGTCAATGAAGCAGACGAAGGCGTCAAGGCGTCACCACTGGTTTTTCGGTGTGAAACGCTATAGGGATGAGTATGTCGAAATGTTTTGGGCCTGAACTGTCGAACCTGGTGGTTCAATTCGTTGCGCATAACACGTTTTGGGCACGCTTTGAGAACCGACTCTTGGCTCCCGATTCGGCGGCGGTCCGGGGACGAGCCGCCTGCCGGGACGTGAGCGCTGCACGCACGATGTGGCGCGCCATCCGGATGGCGCGCCATCTGAACATCGTCGTGCGCCAGCGGTGGCACGAGGTTCATGTGTGTTCCAGAGAGCTTTGTTTGGACCGAGCATTCCTTTGGGAGAACGGTGTTCCGTCCATGTGAGTGGATGACAGAGTGTTTGGGTGACTGGAAACAAGGAGATCCAGTGATTTGACGGTCGACTAAAGCCTGGTTTCACCGGGTTTCAGACCAGACGTCCCTATGATTCGTCAGCATTAATGTCAGGTTCGTGAAGCATCTGTCACTCAGGCGGTGTGAATCGAGACATCCACTGTTTCACAGACGCCGCAGACCTTTATGAGCGATCGGAGATAGAGGACGCGATGCTGGGCGTCGCGGTTTTGGGGATCACGGATGCTCGATTGGACTCATCGGTTCCAGAAGAACACCTGTGGAAGAGTCGGTAGTGGGTAGATGATTCCCACCTGAAAGCCACCGGAAAGGAGATACAACGAGGGGGGATGTCCATCTGACTGCGGCAGTCAGGATTTCTGACTGTGGCAGACTGTCCACAAAGGCCTGGCCTTAGGCCCGGAGAGCGTCGAATGCGTCCTCGGTGGTGTCCTCGGTTCGGAGTCGAAGAAGTGCGTCGAATTCGGTGTTTTCCTCTTTTTCTCATACTGCGAACGCAAGAAGCGAACGTAGGAACAAGTGCATCGCTACGAAAAGTAACAAGTGCCTTACTAGTAACAATGTTAGCTATAGTAATAGTAGGTTGGAGCCAGCAAGTTGGAGGCCATCGCTAGTAGGTTGTGAATAATTTTTGTCCTTTGACCGGAGGTCCGTGGTCGTCTCACCCAACCTGGTGTGAAGGGCAGCCAAGACGGTGCCCACTAAGGTCTGGAAGATCCAAAGTTCATGAACAGTTCGAAACTACCTGCAGTAGGGCTCCTTCTTGGAGCATTGGGGTGGGAATAGAGCCTAATTCTTCGCGCCCGCTGCTCAAGCCCCACGTAAGTAGGGCAGACGATACAACTCGCACGTTTGCGAGTTTCAAATTGTTCCAGATCGGCCAATGGCTGAGAACGATGGATCCCTTGTTTCCCCCGCGGAGCTGCACGAGCGTGGCCAGTGCAAACCGTGCCCTTTCTGGGTGCCCTTTCCGCAGTCAGAGCCGATTCAAAGCAAACAGATGGCGGCTGTGGGTCATGGCATCGGGACTCTCAATCCCTGGTAGGTTGACCATGTCCAGCAGTCTATTCTGTTCACACGCTGACAAGTCCCAAGAGTGAGAATGTCTTGTCCACGACTCTCTGATCGTTGAACATGAGGATGCACAAATTAGAGGACTACAGCAAATGATCGAAAGTGAAAGACCACGAGTCAGCAAAGCGACCCGCGCCACTCGCCAGCACCCGGGCAAAAGCAAGGAGCTCGTTCCGAGCAAAGAACGGAAGGACGCCCACCAGAGCACCCTGTGGGAGGACCTTCCCTATACATTTGGTCGCGCGAGCTGTGGGTTTACCAGGGAGATCAGGACAAGACTTGTATAAAGCCACAATAGCCTTCCGCAGCTGCAATACAAGGTCTTGAAAGTGTGCAGGTCGTTTGTGCAGTCGAAAGCCCCGGATGTGAAAAAGAAAGCAAAGTTCCTGATATGTGCACATATATTGCAGGCCCGAAATCCAATGCAAAGACTTCAAAAATGTACGGAGTTGGTCCCAATCAGCATGACTGAGATCCACCTTAGAAGGTGGTGGACCATCAGGAATGTTGAAGACTAGGTCAAAAGCTTGTTCCGAACAACTCCAGGCAAGGCCGGGGTAACACTTCTGAAAATCTTGAAGGCACAAAGGCTTGGGAGGTGAAGACGCATCAACAAACTCCTCAGCACATTCAAAGCCAATAAACTTGTTCAGTTGCGTCAGCACTTCCTGTTGGTGTAACACCGCAGCTTGAAACATCGTCTTGTCCCGTGGTGCAATAGCGCAACGTTGTAACGCAAAGTATTCAGCCACTTTGTCGGCCACGCGGTTCAGCTCAACATGTTTCCTTGTGGTACCAGCTTGTTGAAGTTTAGCAGCCGGAATAAGTGAAATCGGGAGGGCATCATCTATATAAGCAGGAATCCAGACCATGGTGAGCACTGGGCCATCACTGGACAGACTACGCAAATTGATAACAGCAAGCAGTGTCTGCCACCACTCGAGGTGTAAACAATTGCGAGGAATACACCGCCTCTGAACAAGAAGGTTGACCATGGCCACCACCTCTTGGCAGTCACTATAGACACAAAGGCAACAATCAGCTTTGAGGGTCGCCATAACCACAGCCCATAGTTCCGCCGAAAAGGACGAAAGCGCCAAGTGTGAGACTGTGCCAGCATCAAAAATGGATCCATCCTCATTGATAATAGA